CGTGGATTCTTCTGCTAGCCACGACCAACTAATTTATCACTTTTCCATTGTTATCTAAATGTATGTCATCGAATCTGTTGCTCAGCTAAATCAATATTAGTGTATCTTAATAAGTTAAGAAATTAGGAGAAAAGTTCGGCTATAGCTGTACACGCCATTGCACACAATCATACAGTAAGGTGGGATACAGCGACAGCGTTAAAAGCTAACATAGTTGGGTGGAGGGAGGTAGAAAGAGAATGATAACCGACTGAATCTTTGTTCATCGAATCAATACACACCAAATACATGCAGTAACAGAAATGATTCCACACTTGTTCCAGATATATGGAAAGTTCTACTCCCCTTATCATCACAGAGAAGGACAGAAAATTAGGGGCTATATCAACTCTGTCTTAAAGTTGTGGAGTTACCTGATGTGATATGAATATGGACAATAAATTATGTCCGAAACGTCGGTATCCCGTCAATGATACTATTCTTTCACTGTATGTGACATTTCTAGTAAACAGATTAAAATAAGTTGCCTTTATGTTATCCACTTAATAATTGAACACTGACATTTCAGTATTCATTATGGATACGCCTAACTGGCAATAATCATTGTCTATCTAACTTTAATCTGCATTTCTTCACTGTCTATATTCAGTTGATTAACTTGATTGTATGCCTCGAATATTGAATGTCCATTGAATATTGGACCGTTATGTAAAACCGATTTATAATTTATATACTTGATTCTTACGGAACACCGCAAACATTTATCAACCTCATTCAACAAATATATGAAGACGCCACATGCAAAGTATTTCACAATGGGAACCTCAGTGATGCCTTCGAACTAAAGTGAAGACACGAGTAAAACAAGGCTGTCTACTATCACCCATCATATTCCTGATTGTGATCGACTGAACTGGATCATGCAACAAAGAGTGAGGAGCACAGTGAGGAGCAAGTAGAGGGGAATAGGCTGGACTGAAGAAAAGAATCTAGAAGACTTGGATTTCGCCACCGATGACTTGTGTCTGATGTCGCATAAACTTGAAGATTTACAGGCGAAAACTAAAAAGTTGTCAGAAGAAGCAGTGAAGACAAGACTTCAAATGAATATAGAGAAGACAGAGGTGATGAAGATACCCAACCAACAACACCAACAACAAGAAGCTGTAATCACCATCGACGCGAGAAACTTAAAGCAAGTAGCCTCCTTCACCCACCCTCCTAGGCAGCACCGTCTCAACTACAGGCAGCACAGTCACACACGAGGATGTCAAAGTCAGGAAAGGAAACAGCAAAACAGGCTCTCATCAACGTGAAACCAGTGTGGAGATCTTCTGCACTACACTACACTCAGCACAAAGAGTCAACAACATCCCGATTTCAAACACAAACGTCAGTCAAGTCAGTGCTCCCACATGGTTGAGAGACTTGACGCGTTACCAAAGGCATTTCCAACAAACTACACACATTCATCAACAACTGCCTACACTGCCTCCATACTGAAGATGGAGATCAGATGGCGAGAATAATAAGAATAAGCAGGGAGGAACTCTGACTGGCTGGTAACGAACCAATGAAGCAAGAGGTTATCTGTGAACAAATATGCAGTGGAAGGAAGTAGAGATGGATTGGGCATACACTGAGAAGAGCATTGCGGGACATCACGTGCCAGTCGAGACACTCGAGTGGAAGGTAGATGGTAATTGACGATTTTGGTGTTGGAGGTGAGGGTGACATTGAGGAGATGGTGTGAGTAAGAAATGAGAGGTTGTGGGCAGTCGTTGAGGGAGGTTGGAAAGATTTCAGAGAACGGAGCTCATTGGAGACGTTCTATTGAAGCGGTATGTTCCATTAGGAACCCAAGGGACAAATAATAATAATAATAATAATGATAATAAGGGTTCAAAAGAGGTGCAGCTGCAGAAACACTGACACTGAAATTCAGAAATCTGATACGAAAAATCTTGTTTGCCACCACCCTATATTTGAAATTTACTACTTGCTGTATGATGCCAATACAGTTGTGGGATGGGCTTCCGAATCTGGCCACATCTATGTGCATTTATAAATTGAACTACTTTTGTGAACAAAGTCATGTAGGCATAACGATTTGGCAATTGTATCAGCGCGCTTCATTGAACACTGTCTAACGTGGTCAGGGGCAAAGTTACAGTGAAATCCATCAAAAGCTCAATACTCGCCTGTCTAGTGGATACTGAGCATAAGATTGACAAAACCTCAGCATTTATTAATATTCTTTACAAAGTTCCATCAAAATACTTTAAGTTTCTGCGCCTTCATTTGCTAAGCGCAGTAGAAGCCACAGCAATTAAAATTTTCAAACGTAATTTATGTATTCAGAAGATGTTTGTTCGATTCCCTTTCACTCCCGCGGCTTTCAACTTCAACCTAGATAGAATTACAGTAAATTGCTTTCCGGTCACCCAGATAAATGTAAATATGATCTCTGTTGGCTGTACTCTTATAATTATCATCTTATTTTTCGCCTTTAATTTCACATTATCAGTATTATTATTTGTCCGTTGGGTTCCTAATGGAACATAGGGCTTCAATAACACGTCACCATTCCAATCTCTTCTCTGCACTCTTTCCAACCTGGCTCCAACACTGCCTACAAACTTTCATTTCTTCCTCTCACTATCTCCTCCATGTCACCCTCATCTCACACACCCAACTCGTCGTTCCCCATTTCGCTTCTACTTGACGACTTGGCCTGGCCACGCCTAGTCTGACCTCACACATGATGTCCCAAACCGTCTTCTCAGTGTATGTCCAATCCAATCCAATCCAATGCATCTCCACTCTCTTCTACTGCATACTTGTTGGGCGACAGGATCTCGGTTGGTTAGTTCGTTGCCTGCCTACCTGCCTGCCATCCAGCCAGAGCGAGTTCCTTGTTGCTTATTCCGATTATTATCCTGGCCATCTCATCTCCATCTTCACTGTCAGTATCCAGTGAGTGTAGGCAGCAGCTCTTCATGTATGAATGTATGAATGTATGAATGTATGAATGCATGTATGCATGTATGTATGTATGTATGTATGTATGTATGTATGTATGTATGTATGTATGTATGTATGTATGTATGTATGTATGTATGTATGTATGTATGGATGGATGGATGGATGGATGGATGGATGGATGGATGGATGGATGTGTGTTCAGTCTGTTGGAAATGCTTTTCGTAACACTACAACTCTCTCAACCACATAGTATAGAAGCAGTGACTTACTTGACTGACATTAGTGTTGAGAATCCGGATGTCGTCCACACTTTATGCTGAGTGGAATGCGTACAGTCGAGTGGAGTGGAGTGGAGTAGATCTCCACACTGATTATTTGAGATGATGGAAGCGTGTCTTGCTGCCTTCCCAATCGTGGCTTTTATGTCCTCATCTGTACTGCTGGCTGTAATAGAGACGATGTTGGTCAGCTTATTTAGGTGAAAGAGACGCCTTTGTTTAGATTTCTCCGATTGATGGTGATTGTTTTTGTTGGTTAGGTATCTTCATCACCTCTGTCTTCTCTATGTTCATCTGAAGGGAGTCTCACCTTCCTTCTCTGCCTCCCTCTTCTATCAACTTGTTATTTTCGCCTGTGAGTTTCATAACTGACGAAAAATCTTAACATTTTATTATTTAATGGCTATGCAACAAAAATAAAAAATCTGGTCAGCAATCGGACCTCGTTGCTCAGTTGGTTGAGTATCACTCCCCAAACCTGATGGTCCCTGGTACGATTCCCACCGCACTACAAATTTCCTTTTCATCTTCAATCATTACACAGTATCAGTAATACTAGTCTACCAAACCACAACTGCTATCTCATTCAGGTAGTCAGAAATGATAATCGATATGATGCTCCCCCTCCCCTCTAATTCAATTACATTTGGATGGGGGTGAGAAGTCCTCACTGAGGGCAGCCAGTGTGAATAGGATCAAGTGGTAGTAACGCGTCAAGGGATTCACATGGTAGTCAGGCAAAACCCCTTGGTGATTGGAGTGAGGTAAAGAGAACCTAGGTGACAGAGGGACCTTGTACCTGGCTCAGTTGGTGGAGCACACACACACACAAGGATTGACTACTGAGAATATACAGAATTTCCAAGACTTTCGTTTCGTTATTATCACTTTCATTGTTATCTTCTAATTCATATGCCTGAATTCAACTAAACATACTGGTATCAACTGAGGACTATACTGAATAAGTTGTAAGTGTAGATTGTAAAACGCCTGATGACAATTTACCAAAAATGCGTATTCTCTCCAAACTCTGTCTTCCAACTATCACAATGGGAATGTTAAAAAATCATTTCTGATGGAGTGTCTTGCTTATAACCACTTGACTCTATCCTCATTAGGAATCGAACTACATTTGAATAGATATTAATCTATACTGGGTAATGATTGAAGGTAAAGTGAAAATTCGGAGTGTGGTGGGAATCGGACCAGTGACCACTGAGTTACCTGCCCGGTGCTCTACCAACTGAGCCAGGTACAAGGTTCCGCTGCCAATTATATTTTTCGTATCTCACTTCAGTCACCAAGGAGTTTTGCCTGACTACCATGTGAATCCCTTGACGCGTTACTACCACTTGATCCTATTCACACTGGCTGCCCTCAGTGAGGACTTCTCACCCCCATCCAAATGTAATTGAATTAGAAGGGAGGGGGAGCATCATATCGATTATCATTTCTGACTACCTGAATGAGATAGCAGTTATGGTTTGGTAGACTAGTATTACTGATACTGTGTAATGATTCAAGGTGAAATGGAAATCTGTAGTGCGGCGGGAATCTAACCGCTAACCGTAATAAAGGTTTTCGCTTCAAATTCTGTCTTCTCATACAACTTTACATAATTCACTCTATAATTATCGATTAAGTTTTAACACTACCAAAATAGGCAATATATGTGTATGTTGTTAACTAATTTTCTATTTAACTTTATCTACATATTTATTTACTCTTTTTTCATAGACACTTATGAAAGAGAAAGCTGATCGTAGTGAATTAGATGGTTTGGGTGTACCATCAGAGTTATATGAGAAAATTTATAGTCTAGAAGCGATTATATCAGAGTTAGCTAAAGAAAGAGAGAAGGTAATTAATTAGACAAGGAAGAAGTTTACTGATCATACTTATATGTATCTGTATGTGTGTGTGTGTGTGTGTATGTTTATGCCTCTTTCACTGTTGTTAAATGCCTCTTTTTTGCTTATTGGTATCAGGGTAAAGAAACCGGTGTTTTTTTTATTTATTCACCTCCTCACGCACATATATATATCTGTATACTGTAGCTACGCTAACGTTTACAATCACTTGGCTTGGCTATCTAATATATGATGCTTAATTTGCGTGTTTTTATCATGTTGACCGAATTATGCTAGATCTTGTTTGGTACGGGTGTTGATTTCGCTTTCTTCTAATTACTAAGAATAATGCGGTTTCTGACTATTATTTTCTATTGAATAAGAAAGACTGTGAACAAAGCATCCAATCACTAGACATTATCATTTGATCTTGATAAAAATTTCTCAAAAATTTTATCGGAAATAATGACATATGATGGAATTTAACTAGAGTATATACTGGTGAATAATATGACCAGTTGGAAACTACTCAGGTTGATCTGTATAGACTTTGCCGATTACAATAGAGTGTTTTAATCATGTTTCATTCATTCGGAGGCTGAAATCATCAGCTGTGTATACAGTCGAATTGTTCAGTTCGCCTGAATTTAGCTACCTGACTTAAATGTAACAGTATGCCTTAAATTAGTTGAACATATAACTGATGATATATAGATTGTATGGTCCATGTTGGTATTTCTTTTCAGCTGAGCAGTTTTTCAACCATCTATCCATGCATACCACCTATTAGACAAAATCGTAAGATGCTACTTGTGACCTAAACATAACATGAACTGATGAAATGTCAGTAGAATTAAACTTTAATAACGGCCAATCATTTACACGTATGCACTGATCAATCAGAATCAACAATTATTATTATTATTTGTCCCTTGGGTTCCTAATGGAACATACCGCTTCAATAGAACGTCTCCAATGAGCTCCGTTCTCTGAAATCTTTCCAACCTCCCTCAACGACTGCCCACAACCTCTCATTTCTTACTCACACCATCTCCTCAATGTCACCCTCACCTCCAACACCAAAATCGTCAATTACCATCTACCTTCCACTCGAGTGTCTCGACTGGCACGTGATGTCCCGCAATGCTCTTCTCAGTGTATGCCCAACCCATCTCTACTTCCTTCAACTGCATATTTGTTCATAGATAGCTTCTTGCTTCATTGGTTCGTTACCAGCCAGTCACAGTTACTTCTTGCTTATTCTTATTATTCTCGCCATCTGATCTCCATCTTCAGTATGGAGGCAGTGTAGGCAGTTGTTGATGAATGTGTGTAGTTTCTTGGAAATGACTTTCGTAAGGCGCCAAGTCTCTCAACCATGTGGGGTGACTGACTTGACGTTGGTGTTCAAAATCGGGATGTTGTTGACGCTTAGTGCTGAGTGTAGTGGAGTGCAGAAGATCTCCACACTGGTTTCAGGCTGATGAAGGATGGCCTGTTTTGCTGTGTTTCCTTTCCGGACTTTGACATCCTCGTGTGTGCCTGTGCTGCCTGTAGTTGAAACAGTGCTGCCTAGATAGGTGAAGGAGGCTACTTGCTTTAAGTTTCTCGCGTCGATGGTGATTGCAGTTTGTTGTTGTTGTTGGTTGGGTATCTTCATCACCTCTGTCCTCTCAATATTCACTTGAAGTCCTGTCTTCACTGCTTCTTCTGACAACTTTTTAGTCTTTGCCTATAGATCTTCCAGTTTGTGTGATATGAGACAGAAGTCATCGGCGGCGAAATCCAAGTCTCCTAGGTTCTTTTCCTCAGTCCAGCCTATTCCCATCTACTCGCTCCTCACAGTTGTGTGTTGCATGATCCAGTTCAGTCGACCACAATCAGGAATATGATGGGTGATAGTAGACAGATTTGTTTAACTCATGTCTTCACTTTGGTTGGAAGGCATCACTGAGGTTCCCATTGTGAATGACTTGGCATGCAGCGTCTTCATATATTTGTTGAATGAGGTTGATAAATGTTTGCGGTGTTCCGTAAGAATCAAGTATATAAATTGTAAATCGGTTTTACATGAATTCTCCGTAGGTTTATCATCTTTCAAACTGTACCATTATCTGTGTTGTCACTCATTCCCGCGCTCCCCCCCCCGCCTCCAAGTGATCCTATCTAAACATCACTTCACATCTTTTCAAAGTGGTTTGTGAGCACTTCAGAGTTGTGTGATCAACCAAGTGCTTCTTCTAAGTAATAGTTTGAGTGGATAACCTATTTCAGAAGCAGGTGTATACATAAACTTATGCATAACTGCAAAGATACATGTTTCTGATCTATCCTTTATCCTTAGAAAATCTCCTATCTTTTTGTATGTTGGTTGTGTGTGATTTGTCAAGATATATATATATATATATATATATATATATATATATATATATACATATTTGTGTTCCCAGAACAAGATATCCATCCATTTCAATCACACTAACTACTTCTTAACTTCTTCCTAATACAGAATCAGCAGTATGGTAAATAGATATGATGGATGACCTTGAATACGTTATCTCTTACCTGATTGGTTGTTCTCAAGGTTTTTTGTCAATTTACTCCCACTGAAATATGCTATTAAACAAAGTGAATAATTAGACAATTACTCATGCTAGTCTATAGATTTCAACGATAACTTTGTACTGAATGCAGTGTATAACTATCGGTTTATTGGAAGCTCATATTATTTCGTCAACTTGAAAAAAGCTAAGAATAAATTTCCATAGAGACTGGATGTGTGATCTTGTCCACCTGAAAACTCCAATAACAATAAGTAGAGTTTATATACTGAAGTTTATTGTCAAATAGAATAACTTACTTATGATAAAGTTGGTCTCAAAATATATCAAGATATATATCCCGCCAGTTTTTTCAATCTAACTAACTTTTTTCTCTAATCATTTACAGGCATTTAGTGAAAAGTTTTATTCAATGATGATTGAGTAATTTTTATTTGTGTTCATGTGTGTAGTGAACTTTGATTTTTCACTTAGTTTGTTTGGGTTTATTCTATTTGTTGCACTGTATAAAAAAGATAATTATTATTGCTATTCTGACTAGTTTTTTTGTGGCAAGTGTTTAGCTACTAATTCTGGCTATTTAAGTAGTATAAAATAATATAATAAAATTTATGATGATAGTGTTATTGATTTTTTACATTGGTATAGATTTATGTGGATTGTGGAACATCGCCTCATATGCCATATCCTTCTGATGTAAGTTTAAAAAAAAGTGTTTTTTTTTCATTCAAGATTTATTTTTATCCAATTTTCAAAGAAGAGATAATTCACAGAAGAATATTTTCGTTTGCATGATATCATTTTCTTAAGCTGTACAATCGTATTTACATATATGGTTCCGAGTGTACTGATAAAGTTCATTTCACATTTGAAGGTGAACATTTTCGACAAATAGATGGTGTGGCTATGAGAAGTCCCTTAGGACTATTGCTAGCTGATATTTACATGTCACGAGTGCTTCTGTATGGTTCAGAGACTGAGCGCGTTACGAAAGGGATTTCTAATAAACTACAGACATTCATCAACAACTGCCTACACTGCCTGGATACTGAAGATGGAGATCAGATGGCCAGAATAAGAAGAATAAGCAACAAGGAGCTCTGGCTGGCCAACGAACCAACCAAGAACCTATCACCGAACGAATATGCAGGAGGAAGTGGAGATGGATTCGGCATACACTGAGAAAGCTGACTGAGGACATCACGCGTCAGGCCAGGTACTCGAGTGGAATCCCCATAGGAAGCGACGAGTTGGACGTCCCAGCTGAGGGTGACATGGAGGAGATGGTGCGAGGATGAAATGAGAGGTTGTGGGCTATCGTGGAGGGAGGTTGAAAAGATTTCAGAGAGCAGAGTTCACTGGAGACGTGCTAGTGAAGCCCTATGTTCCACTAGGAACCCAAGGGACTAATAGTAATGTAATAATAATATTTACATGTCACACATTGAGGGCTTGACCGGCGATCTCATCAATAAAGTTACCTTTTATAAGAGATATGTTGATGATATAATCGTGATATGTGATAAGCATGAAGATGCGACATGTTTGTTAGAAAGACTTAACAACGTACAAAACAACATAAGCCGCACACGTGAAGAAGAAAAAGAAAACCGTCTGCCATTCTTGGATATACTCCTATGTCGTAGAAATGATGGTTCAATAAAACGGTTGATCTACAGGAAACCTATTTGGACAGATCAGTATTTAAGTTTCTATAGCTTTTGTCCAACCTAATCCAAGCGAGGTTTGGTAACTTGTCTATTTAAAAGGATCGAGCGTATTTGTACGGAGGACTCAATGAATGATGATATCAAAATACTAACGGAAACATTAGTGGAAAATGGATATCCATTGAAGAAATGCGTTTACATCGCGTTACCATACAGAGTAGAATCTAATAGCATAATATTAAAACGACGGTTAAGGTAATCTGTTAGCAAAACGTACTATGCAGCTAAGCTTATCATAGTTGAGAAAACCAAACACCTGCTGCAACATAGATCTCAACGCTGTATAAACGATTGTGTCACATCCCACTGCGTTTATAAATGTATATGTATGTGTGGACCAACATACATAGGGAGGACTAATCGTGATATGCACTTGAGGGTAGGGGAACATGTTCCAAAGTGGCTATGAAAGCAGCTGGATTCACAAACATTGATAATCGTAGATGGTAGACAACCATCATCCGCATCCATTGCAAAAGATATCATTGATAAGAGTCACAGGATTGATATTAAAACAACCTTTACAATTTTGTACAGAAACTGTCAGTGACGTATACTTAAGTTTGTTGAGGCGCTAACCATAAATAAATTTCACCCCGCATTGTGTGTGCAAAAACAGTTTGTCCTTACGCCAAGCCTACCTTGGTAATGCTTATTTTATCGTATTACCAAGATTGTCTTCAAATCTTATCTTTTTTCCCCTGTCATTATTGAACTCCTTTATGTCATATATGTCCTTCCCCACTTTCAGTTTTCATGTATAATACTGCCTTAACAAGTAGATGATGTGATCAGATTGTTCGAAATGTATAGCGCAAATACATCACACATTTTTCAGATAATCTACGTCTTCTAATTACCTTATCCAAATATATATCATAAACATATACAATCTATTATTAGACAATAGAGTATGATTGATACAAAACCGTAATCAAGAATGAAGAGTAGTTACGTAATAATCTAATAGACATATTAGAAATAACGACAAAGTCAAGGAGTCTGATAAGGTAAAAATTATTGATAGATAAGAAATGAGAATTGGTTGGGTGTCCACTTGGTAGATAGATAAATGTAACGAAGGTGATGAATTACCAATGCTTCAGCTGTGCACAACTGTCGAATGCCTACTCTTTTTAAACTATGGAGGTTTCTGGTCGAGCTATATATGTCCACAGTTGACTAAATGTTCAAGAATTAAACTGTCAATTGATTTACATTCTTCCCTTGACAACTAGGCAGGATAGTGAATACTCAGAGATACGTTTCAAAAGTACTCGATTTGTGTAACCTATATAACTAGCTCCTCAACTACAGGCGGCACAGACGAGGATGTCAAAGTCAGAATCGGAAAACCAACACAGGCGTTCATTCGCCTGAAACCAGTGTGGCGATCTTCTGCACTCCACTCAGCACAAAGCGTCAACAACATCCCGATTTTGAACACCAACGTCAGTCAAGTCAGTGCTTCCGTATGGTTGAGAGACTTGGCACGGTACGAAAGGGATTTCCAATAAACTACAGACATTCATCAACAACTGCCTACACTGCCTGGATACTGAAGATGGAGATCAGATGGCCAGAATAAGAAGAATAAGCAACAAGGAGCTCTGGCTGGCCAACGAACCAACCAAGAACCTATCTCTCAACAAATATGCAGTGGAAGGAAGTGGAGATGGATTGGGCATACACTGAGAAGGCCGACTGGGGACATCACGCATCAGGCCAGTTGCTCTAGTGGAATCCCCATAGGAAGCGACGAGTTGGACGTCCCAGCTGAGGGTGACATGGAGGAGATGGTGCGAGGATGAAATGAGAGGTTGTGGGCTATCGTGGAGGGAGGTTGAAAAGATTTCAGAGAGCAGAGTTCACTGGAGACGTGCTAGTGAAGCCCTATGTTCCATTATGAACCCAAGGCACTAATAATATTAATAATAATATAACTTGCTCCATAGAAGGAAGTAAAATTTGTAGACACACACTATGAGGTGGCCTAAAGCGGCAACTACTCCTTAAAAAACTCCTAAACCAGTTGATGACTACAGAATCTGATGTGTAGTTTCACACAGAAGAATGTCCTCTTTAATGATCTCTGCTGCCATAACGCCTTTGAAACCAATGTTCAAAAACAAGGTCTTTTTAGGAACTGTGACTACCCCTGTTCCATGTTCTCAATAAATCTAGACCGGTATCCATTTTGCATGAAAATCTTCCGTAGTTCGTGTAATTCATCGTCGATAGCATCACTAGTACAGATTCTTCTGATACTTGAAGATAAAGAATGAATCAGATTCCTTTTACTGCTGAGAGGGATCCAGCTATGGAAATTTAAATATTGTCCATTTCATGTATTATTATTATTATTTGTCCCCTGAGTTCCTAGTGGAACATACGGCTTCACCACCATGTCATCATTTCACTCTCCACTCTGCAGTGTTTTCAACGTGACTCCCGACTGCTCACAAGCTTTCATTTGAATTGTATGACGTAAATAAATAACGTTTAAAAAGGAATTACTTCGAATATTTGTTGCTGAGGCTAAGGGTAGTCAGTTCCCTGTGGATATTTTTATACACTGATGATGATGACGTCCAAGAGGACGTTGAAACGTTTGCCAACTATAAACCCTAATTAGGCGAGTGACTCTTTCGAAACATTACAGTTTTCTAAATCCATCTATTATTATTATTATTTGTCCTTTGGGTTCCTAGTGGAACATAGGGCTTCAGTAGAACGTCGTCACTCCACTCTCCTCTCTACAATCTTTTCAACCTGGCTCCACCACTGCTCAAAAGCTGTCATTTCCTCCTCACGCAATCGCCTCAATGTAACTTTCGGACGCCCAGCTAGCCGTTTCTCATTCGGTTTCTACTCGAGGGCCTGGACTGGCGAGTGATATACCCAAATGGTCTTCTCAGTGTATGGCCATTCCATTCCAATCCAACCCAATCCATCTCCACTCTCTTCTACTGCATATTTGTTGGGCGATAGGTTCTCGATTGGTTGGATCGTTGCCAGCCAGCCAGCCAGCCAGCCAGCCAGCCAGCCAGCCAGCCAGCCAGCCAGCCAGCCAGCCAGCCAGCCAGCCAGCCAGCCAGCCAGCCAGCCAGCCAGCCAGCCAGCCAGCCAGCCAGCCAGCCAGCCAGCCAGCCAGCCAGCCAGCCAGCCAGCCAGCCAGCCAGCCAGCCAGCCAGCCAGCCAGCCAGCCAGCCAGCCAGCCAGCCAGCCAGCCAGCCAGCCAGCCAGCCAGCCAGCTAGAGTGACTTCCTTGTTTCTTATTCTTTCTTATTATTCCGGCTATCTCATCTCCATCTTCAGTGTGAGTGTCGAGTGACTGTAGGCGACAGGTGTTGATGGGATGTATGTGTGCAGTTTGTTGGAAATGCTTTCCGTAACACACCAAGTCTCTCAACCATCAGACAGAAGAAAATCGCTGACTTGACTGAGATTAGTGCTGAAAATCGGGATGTTGCTGATGCTTTATGCTGATTGTAGTGTAATGTAGTGTAGTGTAGTGCGGTGCCGTGGAGTGGAGTGGAGCGGATCTCCACACTGATAATTTAAGATTAATGCAAGAAGGGGTGTCTTGGTGTCTTTCAGATCCTGGCTTTGACATGATCATCTGTGCTGCCACCTGTAGTTGAGACGATGCTTCCTAGGTAGGAGGGTAGTTAGGTGAAGGAGATAACTTTCTTTAGACTTCTCCCGTTGATGGTAATTCAAGTTCGTCGTTGTTGGTAATGGTGTTGGTTGGGTATCTTCATCACCTCTGTCTTCTCTACGTTCACTTGAAGTCCCCCATCCCATGTAGACGTCCTATAAATTGATCGCTGAAGAAAATCATCTGGTCTCCGTTTCAATAAGATATCGAGAAAATGGAAATCTGAGCTCACTTCAAATACTACCGTGAAGTTCATCAATAGATGACAATCACTGAACTTTTTAACGACAGTCCCAATATCTATATTTTGATAACATATAATGAATATATCATCCATATATCTTTTATATAGGCAGAAACTATCAATTGTTGAATGTAGCACACTATTCTCTAGGTTCACCATAAAGCAATAAGCCAGCAGCTATTCAATTGATAACGCCATAGCAACCCCATCCTTTTCTCTATAAAGATTATTGTTGAATTTGAATTCCACGTTGAAAGTGCATCTTAGAAGTAAATCCTTCAAATAATGTTTCAGGATATTCATGTGAAAATTATTATCTCTTATGAAATCGCATACAAAACAGATAGTTTTCGTGAGTGAGACATCGGTGAATAGCTGGATCGCATCTAGAGAAATCATTCCCTTACCGGATATATATACGATTGTTCAGCTTTAAAAAATTATATCGTCGAAAAGAAAATCTTCTCCGCTAGATTATCTCTTCTTTTCAAAATGATTTTCAAAATTCTTGTTTGGTTTGTGTTCTCTGAGATGGGTTGTTTAATCGTGAAGGTTTCGTCGTCTTTCTAAACAACATCATCAGCACTGACTTCAGTATGAAATGAGCTGTCAGTATCTCTCCGTCAGTGAGTGATTTAGTACGTTGCATTGACCAACTGGTTTGTGATTGGTTGTTTCCTTCGATTGTTGTGTCATTGACTGATTGTATTGATTTTCCTGTTGGCTACTCCTTTGCTTCACCTCTGACCTCTGTATCGTTTATCATCCTTCTTATTGGTTGATAGATTGGGTCTCTCATGTCTATACATCTACTGATTGCTGACTGACTGATCTGAATGCCTCCAAGTTTCTAGGAATTCTCTGATATTCTCCGTGTTTCATCTCTCCGTCCAAGGTTTCTACATTGTCAAAATTAAATTCATGTCCATAGTTGTTATTCACATGCATTGAAATGAGTGATGAAATGTTATGTAGGACGAAGGAGAAGAAGGCAGTCACTTTGTCCAATGTAGTGTTGACTACAGTTACCTATTGCAGTTGATTTTGTAAATGATATTCGGTTTGTCTTCTTCGGTTGTTGCATCCTTTGCTATGCATAATAGTGTTTGTAGGAAATTTGTTGGTTTATGCGCCACACCTATTCCACGAAGTGGTCTCAGTGATGACGTCGTGATTTCTGATATATTCTTTATGTATGGTAGGATGATGCGTTTGTTGAGTTCTGTCGATAACTTTGTAGTTGGTGATACACGGGATAGGCATCTTTTGATGAAGTTTCGTGGGTAGCCGATCTTCTTTAGGATAGACATCAAGTAATTTTCTTCGTTTCTCCGTGAATTTGTTGTACTGCAGTGTGTCAACGCTCTTCTGAATACAGTCTGCACGCAACTGTAGTTGACGATTTGGTCAGTGTGTGTTGGCTTTCTGTACACTTGGGTTTCCAACTCTCCGACATTTGTTCTATTGCTTAGAACATGCAGGAATGGTAGTTGGTTGTTTGACTCTTTCTCAATTATGAATTTGATGTCAGTGAAAACGTTTTTGATCAAACTGTGGGTGTTTTCCTTATCATCGTTTTTAGTGATGACAAAAGTGTCATCCACATACAGAATCCAGAATTTTGGTTTGATCACAAGTAGGATGATGATTTTCAAAATTACAACAAGCCTTTTCAATTAGAACCCTAAAGACTTGAATATAAATTATATAATCCCGCTTACGTATAAAGCATGAAAATAATTATCATGATTTCCGAGACATTAATGAAAGGGGAACCAGGAAGCATGAGGAAGTTCGATTCTTCTGGGCTACTCATACCGAGGGAACTGTTTCTGAGAGGCATCTGAAAAAGAAAGCCAATTGCCTTTGCATAAGCACAGAACCTCAGAGATAGTTATTTGATCCCAGTCACAAACCACCATTTTAGAAGTTTGGAATACAGGTTTGTTTCTTCTGAATTGATGATGTCTTACACTTACTATATTTCTCGATCTGAAGACAACATTCAACTCTGTCGATCAAGAGGTGGTATCAGTGTCTGACTGTGAAAATGGCACTGAACAAGTGTGTACAGCTAATTGTAGCCTTCTACTCAAACTCATGCGGCTCTGTAAGGGCTTATGGAGAGAAGTAATGTGAACAGACAGCAACTACCATTGTTGACTGGGGATGGTTGTTGCCACCTTTCCTGTACAGCTTCGTCATAGATGTACTAATGAATATAACTTTAGGTACTTCTGAATTGATATGGATGGATATACTTCAAGGAGAGTACCTTGTTGACTTGGAGTATGCAGACAACATTATCCTCCTAGATGAAGTGATAGCAAAAAGCGTACTCATTCGTATACCTTGGGCTGGTGTGCATTTTACATCTGTTTAGTCAGCAGCTACTCTCTGTTTCAAGCGCTGTGAAATTATCTGTTACACGAGCACTATCAAAGAAATATGATAAAACTTCGCTCCATATTATTATCATAGGTTCTTTGCTGTAGCCATAAAAGTAGGAGCTTAGTAACACGTTTTTTCAACTGCCTACTGATGTACAGAATCAACTGACTTGCTAAATACACCCATTTAAAAATGATTGGTTGGAAAGGAATCCCATCTCATCTATTGCTGCTTATAATTGCCCATTAGTGTATTGTAACAAAATGACCTGTCCGTATTCGCATATGACATGCTATGTGGTTGCTTCGACATATCGAGGTCACGCACTATGTTGATGAGTTCTAAATAGAACGAAATGCCTATACTAGATTGAACTGCTAACTACCATTAAGTAAATCCGATTTCAGTTTATTTCATTAGATGTATCATATGGTGAAACAGTATCATTATCATTTAATGGATTACATTTGTTGACATAAGAGGCAGCAAAGTAAGACGGGACTTCAAGTGGACGTTGAGAAGACAGAGGTGATGACGATACCCAACCAATAACAAACACCAATCACCATCAACAGGAGAAACCTGAAGGAAGTAGCCTCTTTCACGCACCCTCCTAGGCAGCATCCTTTCAACTACAGTCGGAGGCGGCACAGGAACAGCTGAGGACGCCAAAGCCAGCCAGGATCGGAAATGCAGCAAGACAGGGTTTCATTAACCTGAAATCAGTGTGGAGATCTACTGCACTGCCCTGCACTCAGCATAAAGCCTGAACAACATCCGGATTTACAACACTAATATCAGTCAAGTCAGTGCTTTCATGTGATGGTTCAGAAACTTGGCAAGTTACGAAAAGCACTTCCAACAAACTAGAGACATTCATTAACAACTGTCTACGCTAGTTACTGAAGCTCAGATGGCCAGAATAGTGAGAATAAGCAACAAGGAACTCTGGTTGGCTGGCAACGAACTAACCAAGAACCTATCGCCCAACAAATATGCAGTAGAAGAGAGTGGAGATGGATTGGATTTGCCATACACTGAGAAGGCCATTTGGGGATATCACGAGTCAGGCTCTCGAGTGGAACCCAGATGGGAAATGACGAGTCGGGCGTCCTAGGTGAGGGTGACATGGAGGAGATGGTGTGAGGAAGAAATGAGAGCTTATTGGCTATTGTGGAGACAGGTTTAGATACCACAGAGAACAGAGTGGAATGGAGACATCCTACTGAAGTCCCATGTTCCACTAGTAACCCAAGAGATAAATAAAATAATAAATAATATGATATGATAGATTACATTTTTGACAAAATGCTGACCTTGATACCCTATGGTCCTGAATTCAATCCCTGGTGGTAGGGGGTTATGAGTGAGCACTTCTGCACTTCCTCCAAGCGATATCAATCAATGATGAATTTTAACCTACATTTTACTATACATAATCATTCGAATAATCAATAAACTATACATCAATTTTAGTACAATATTTATTGATTAATTGTTGTGTTTTTTCTTCTTGTTTAAAACAAAACAACAATACATAAAATAGAATAAGAAATTGTTGAAGAAACTACAGGACACCATGTCAGTATTACAAGAACAAATTAATCAATTGAACAATACCCTGTCAAATGTACAGTCACAATTTAAAAAAGTCTGTGAAACAGTCGAGGTAAATACTGTTCTAATGATGATCAATTCATTTTTATCCCTTTTCTAGTTGTAATGATGGATAGTGGCTAGTAGTGGAATACAGGATATGCATTTCGTCCTATTTGAGACTCATCAGCTGGGTGTGGATAACGCTCTGGCGCTCGAAGCGATCGCTCCCGAGTCCGAGTCCTGGTGGGAAGAACATCACTCTCTGGGAAGTGAGTACATCTAGCTGAAGAGTCCCAAATAGGACGAAATGTGCATCCTGGATTCCACTGCTAGCCACGATCCATCATTACTACCTTTAGAGCACAGGCAATATCGATGCATCCACACAGGAGCCCAATTCGGTCTAATCAACGACGGTATGATGTAGAAATAATTATACTAAAATTATGTGTGGTTATCTATACTACTTTTATAATCCATATTTAAGTAGTATAACTAGGATCCTTAATTCACCTACAAAAAGTGAATATTGGCTTGATAGCTCATTAACAAGGTGTCTGACTGTGGCACAATTTTGACATGAATTTGAATCTATGAGTGGATATCATTACCCTTGAAGTTCTAGGTATCTCACACTGACAATTGGTAAGAAAGCTAAAACTTAGTCGATTCACGGTTTACTGTCTAGTGTACTCAGCCGCTAAACACCAATTAGACATACATCACGCTGGTAAGTTTCATAACTCGATGGCCACGATACTAAGTCATTGATCAAGGTCAATTATCAAGAGTCCTCAATTACTGACCCCTTCCATCTCAAAGACTTCAGCCAGAAAGTAGTCTATACCTCCATACACGACCTAGATCAACAATCAACGACTTCAACCCTTTTCCAACCTAATCCAGCTTTCCCTAGTGAGGTAAGCCGTAACTTGGCATGTTAAGCACATGTTATAGCCTATCTTGCTTAGTACTCTTCCCTCAACCTCGAAACTATTTACATATTGACTTTGTATTGATTAGTCACTGGAGTGCAACCAATTTCATGTTGTCTGGTCCTGAGTGCAGACCGAATTCTATCGATCATATTTGCAATGTAGCAATCAAGCTGGGAAGCTCAGTATTCCGGTGTACACTATTAGATGTTAGTTGGTTGGAAGAAGTCGGCAGGAAGCCCTACTTCACCTAGATATCGTACTTTATGGTACTCGTCAGCAAGGCGCATCTGCAACCTCAACGGAACTGATGTCTCGCCTGAGATTTGAAACGGCGTCACTCAATGTTGTAGTCAGCGGCTTGACCATTGAGCTATTCGGGCTGCGACTGATCTCCTGTAGGACTAGTTTACATGTATTAATTGGTCACGGGAGTGCAACAAATTTCATGTTGTCCAGTTTTGGCTTCATTAAAGGCAAACAATACTACAAAGATACTTGTGATCATAACTGCAATGATACTAACGAAAAAACTGTCAACGTAAGAGCAAGGAGGTTATGAATTCGAGAAAATTAGAGACTGTACATACTTCCTACGAAAAAAGAGAACACCCAATGTTCCCACCAGGCATACACACACACAGAAATCATACAGCTTTCCACTTGTTGAATTCGACTTTTCAGACAATGGTAAGCGTGAACTCCAGTGGAGTTATGTGACCTGAATAAAAAACCAAGTGTTCGTGGATAAAAATGTTTATTGATCTGTTACGCATACTTACCATCTAGATATTCCAACAACTAAGCTCCTGGATACAATAGATGAATTGCTTAATATATATATATATATATATATATATATATATATATATATATATGAAGGGTTCCTAGTGGAATATAGGGCCTTGGTAGGACGTCGCCATTTCACTTTCCCCTCTGCAGTCTTTTCAACCTGGTTCCACGACTCGCCACAAGCTTTCAGTCGTTCCTAACATGATCTCCTTCATGGCACCCTCAGCTAGGACGCTCAACCAGTCGTTTCTCACTTGGTTTCCACTCGGGAGCCTAGCCTGGCCTGGCGCGTGATGTCCAAAAAGGTGTTCTCAGTCCCTAAAGTTCCCGGCTCCCTTCGCTGCCTCGCCTCTCTAGTCAACTTGTTAGTTTTCACTTGTGGATCCTTGAGTTTATGCAACATTAGACACAAATCATAATCGGTGAAATCCAAATCTTCTCACTCCTTATCATCCATCCAGCCATCGTATGCCCATCTTCTCGCTCCTCACTGTTGTCTGTTGCATGGTCCAGTCCACTCCACCTCCACCAAGAAGATCATCGGTGATGGTAGGCGACAATCTTATCTTACTCCGGTCGTTGCTTCACTCCACTTCACTTCACTTGAATGGCATCACTGAACTTTCCATGTGAATCACTTGGTATATAGCGTCATACAGCATATAGCTGCTTTTGAATGAGGTTGATGAGGGTTTTTGTTAGTAAAACTGTAGTGTTGAAGCAGCTGCCTGCTAAATTACTCGTTGGTCGACGCTGTTGGAGACGTTTTCAAAATCGCTGAAGTTGAGGTTGAGTTGTGTTGACTGTCATTGTATGCTCTGTTCTATGATGAATCGTAGCGCAGCGTTGCAATTTGATTCTGAAACCAGCCAGCCTGTTCCGGTCGTACCTTCGAATTCAGAGCATATATGTTTGAAGAAAAAATATAGTCTAGCCAATGGTTCACTTCAATGTTAATGTATGCCTATAGCTCATAGGTAGTTTATACATAACTCCAGGTGACCATAATGTTAAAGTGGAACAAACTGATCCACGTATACCGATGATTCCAAGGTCAAAGTAGTCAGCCATCTTCAGTTAGGCCATCCAAAAGCAGAAGTTTAGCTAAATCAAAATTGGCAGACTTTAGGAACATAATAGGATGCAACTAGCTTAATGCAGATGGTCTGGAAGAGGAGAGATTAGCAACAAAATCCTCGATTTTAGGTTGGATTTCATCGTGGACTGATATTATTTGAAGTTGCTCAATGATAATATCCTCGTCAGGGGAGCTGAAGGCCCTGAGTTCGATGCCTGCAGAGGCGGAGTCATAGGTGTGCACTACTGAGGACTTCTATACTAGGATGAAACAGCTGTTCAGTGCCCTCAGGTTTCCAATGTTTCAGCAACTGATGTCAGTTCATGATGAATTCTAGGCTGAAATCGCTGAATAAACCTTCACAAAAATCCACATAGAACGAATACTTGATTGTTGAATCAACACACCATACACATTCACTAGGTATGATTCAGTGTGTCTTTTAGCTAACAAAAATATTCGTTTGCATAACTTTATATTCTTCAGATCCTATGGATATTTTACATGGATTGAGGAATTATACGTCATCTCGCCTGGCTAACTAGTTTCCTAGTTACTAGCCAGTCCTAAACCCGAGTAAAAACAGGGAAGGTTGCAAATAGGGCTACCACCCCTACACCAAAACACCAATCCAATCACTACAGAAACTTCTAAGCACAAAGTTATTACAAAACACAAAATTAAACTTATTCCTCGCTGGAATCAAGGAGACGAAATGACGTCGGTTCGTGAAAGCCTTCACGAAGCCATTCGCCCCATGTGGCTTCTCTCCATCTACGAAAACAAAAGTAAGAATGGTGACATGGAATACCTACACCATGCTGAAAGCTAGATGGCAAGGCTACCCAGATTGCAAAAGACATGAGGAGGTATGGCATTGAAGTGCTAGGAATCATCTATGAAATCAGATGGAATGGAAGTTGACTCTACAAACTGTCAACTGCAGAGTCAATAATCTACTCCAATATTGTCACTCACATGACAACAACGAGCCCACTGAGTTATGCAGTGGTTATCATGATGTCCGTGAGAGCATCGAAGGCTGTCTCCCTCTGATACACTGGGATCGGATCTCCTCATGTAGGATCAGCATCATGACAGCAAGGTGTAACTCAAAGGAAGGAAAGTCACAATCACACGATGCTACGCTACACCACACTACGCATCTTCAAATAATGCAGATGAAGATAAGAAGGAGGAATTCTACAGACAACTGCAATCAACACTGGACAAAACCTCAGTTCGTGACGTCAATATTCTAATGGGCAACATGAATGCCAAACTACAGGGAGCGGACAACACAGGAAGAGAACAAACCATGGGTGGAGAAGTGATCAGTGAAATGAACGAGAATGGAGAATTGTTTGCAGCACCATGTGCGTTCAATGATTTGGTGACTGGAGGGACTGTATTCAAGCACAAGGATATCCAAAAAGCGACATGGATTTGATTTCACCAGGTGGACACACTAAAACCGACCTCTGATCGACTTCATCTCAATGTGAACAAAGTAGAGATGCAGCCTACTTGACACAAAGTCAAGAAGGGGAATAGATGTAGGTTTGCACCACTCACTATCTAGTGCAAGGAACCTACATTCAAAATCAAGTTGAAAACCTAGAGGGAAGTTGGTGATAGATCACAGTTGAAGTTGGACACCCAGAACACGAAGTGGAGGATGAAACTACAAAGGAAATCTTCACATCAGTCATCAGGATAAAATGGGAGATATTCAGAAACATGTCTGAAGAAACCTGTGTGGATGAACTGTGGAACTCTTTGAAAGAGAAGTGGAAGGAACCTGCATAACCGTGTTAGGAAGGAAAAAGAACGAGGATAAGGAATGGATCTCGACAGACACATGGAAGTTGATAGAGCAGGGAGAGGATGATGGTGAAGCAGAAGATATACAAGTGCAGTGCACTACAAAGATGAATAACGAGAAGAGGAATTGAGTACAACATATAAAACACTACACTGGACAAAGAAGTGAAGAAGAGTGCGCGGGAGGAAAAAGGCACTTCTACGACACACTTGCAAGTGAAGCAGAACAGGCTGCAGGTAGGAGATCAATGAAAGACAGTGAAGAAAATCTAGTTACCAAAGAGGAGAAGCAAATGACACAATGGGCTGACCACTTGAAGGAGCTCTTAAATCGACCACCACATGCAACTCGTAGAGGAATACCATCAGCAGCCCAGCTGCAGTACTACCAGTGAAGTATTCAGAGACGAGTGAGTTGATGGGAACCTGGTACGGAATGGAAAAAACGATTCATTCATATCCACTTTATGGTTTGTTACAACCAACTGTGCTAATATAAAGTTGGTTACAGTTTTTACAAAACTTAGTTAACCACACTGGAAGGTGTTCGTCAGTACCAGAAAGTAACTTCTTAGAGCAGCGATCGACGTAATTGGTTCCGTAGGACTAGTTGAACTGATAAACACAACAGAAGGTGACCAGTCTAGATAAGATTTTTCAAGCGGAGATGTTTACCTACTCAATACCTTCCATGCCAATGAACTTACATGAAATCGAACCTTTCAAAGTCAAATTGTTCATCTTTAACATTGGTAAAACTTAAGCTCACTATAATCCGTTGTGTACTAAGACTGTCTCAAAATTCAATTACCACATTAGCCTCGTAATGCCTACCAGATCGATATCCTGAAGTTCAAATGAGAAGCTATGCATGACGTGTGGAGTTAACCAATCTGAAAGGAAGTGAATGCCATTTGAAGATTTTAGGTGATTAGTCACGTGAACAATGAAATCCGAACCAGTAGCTGAATGGTTAAAACGTTCATCATAATACCTAGAAGTTCTGAGTTCTATCCCTATCCGGTTGTAGATGGGTACTGTTGGCGACATACATTCAAAGACTAAACATCTCTTCAGTCTTCTTCAAATCATTTCGAGTTTTATCATGATTGACTAATATCTGTATGAAGTAAAGTTGTATAACAAATGTTGAACGAGTAAAAGATCAGTTTAACTACGTATTTTGACTTTTTTTTCCTTCAGGATGTGAAACAGTACGCGGATGATTTGGAGACGCGTAAAGCAGATGCAAGTTATGTTGATGTACAACTTGATAAGGTTAGTTTAAGATTTTCTTTTTAAAAGTGAATTTATTTCATCTTTTACTCGATATAAATGTCATATTATATTGATTGTTCAATGAAAGGTAACCAACTTCATGTTATCTAGTCTTATGGTCACTAGGATAGGACTTTAATTAAATGGATGATACCGGTTGTGAGTCCTGCTTGACCTAGAGTCGGAAAGCTTTTGGCTGATGAGTGTTCAAAGGTACGAAACCCTAGTTGTAGGGTTCCCTCCCGATTGCTTTCATCTTAATTTAGTTAATTCTGCTAGATTCAAAAACATCTCTAGTTGAACAACCATAATAAAAAAAGAGGTAAAGCAGCAGGCAGTTTAGATCCTTTCAAAATACTGTTTACATTAAACGAATTGACTGACAAAATAAAGATGGATCCTGGTGCACAAGTTCATTGGCTGAAGTTGTCGTACTTCACCGTGATAGTATACAAAGGACAAGGAGATAGAAAGGCAGTGATATCAAATAAGTGAATACTTCTACGCCATTGTGATCAATTTTCAGCCATGTCACCAAGTGTCCTCGACGATTGATTCCTTTCTACTTGGGGGGTATCCAGCCGTTTAGTCTATATCTCCTCCTTTTTTTTTCTATCCTAATCCAACTTCTCCTAGTATAGCACGTTGAAGTAGGCGATGACTCAGCATGCGTGGCATATGTTGAAGCCATTTCAGTCAACTAACGTTCATGAAGTCATCAATCGACTAGTCTGTCTTACATCGTATCATACAGTGAATACTTGTCAATACAGGCCATCATAAAACCATCCACTGTACTGGGATATGTCTCCGCTTGTTAACTTGTAAATCACTGAATTGATAGAATGTAGAAGGATGAATTGTTGAATTGATCCACTGAATAGACCTTGATATACTGATTTCAATCAACTATACATTATTTGATATTTTCAGACCAATTGTAACTTACTAGTCTTGGGTTCAGTTCATGATGATACCGTAGGTGTACACAGCTGAGGAGTATTTTATAATAGGTCGAAACACCTGCTGTCCAGTTCTTTCAGATTTTTAGGCATTTTTCAAAACATTTCAGTGTTTTTTTAAATCTTTATTCTCAGCTATAAGCCTTGTTTGATCACCAATGTTTAATGTGTTGATTAGACATACTTATAAAACAAACAACACACACTCAATAGTTTTCGATACAATGTAGATGTTTCTTGTTGTTGTCAGACTTGAAATAGTCAATCATCCGACTACTTCTATACAAATAATTATTATTATTATTGGGATTTGTCCTTTGGGTTCCGAGTAGAACGTAGGGCTTCAGTAACACGTCACCATTTCACTCTCTTCTCTGCAGTCTTTTCAACTTGGCTCCACTACTGCCCACAACCTTTCATTTCTTCCTCACACCATCTTCTCCACGTCACCCTCAACTCGCACACCCAACTTGTTGTTTCCCATTCGGGTTTCCCTCGTCGGTCTAACCTGGCCTGGCTCGTCATACCCCTGGAGTCCTCTTCTCAGTGTATGTCCAATCCATCTCCACTTTCTCCCACTGCATAATTGTTGGGTGATGGGTCCTTGAATAGTTCATTGCGAGCCAGCTAGAGTCCCTTTTTCCTTATTTTTTAATAATCTGGCCGTCTGATCTTGAGTATCCAGTGACTATAGGCGACAGCTGTTAATGGGATGTATGTGTGCTGTCTGTTGGAAATGCTTTCCGTGAAGCACCAAATCTCTCAACCATATAGTATAGAATCACTGACTTGACTGAGATTAGTGTTGAAAATCCCAATATTGTTCATGCTTTATATTGAGTGCAGTGAAGTAGATCTTCACACTGATAATTTCAGATTAATGCAGGAAGGCCTGTCTTGCTATCTTTCTGGTCCTAGCTTTGATGTCCTCATTGTGCAACCTGTGGTTGAAACGGTGCTGCCTAGGTAGGTGGGTAGGTAGGTGAAAGAGACAACTTCCTTTCAATATGTCTCCAGTTTGTGGTGATTGGTGTTTGTTGTTGTTGGTTGGGCAGTTTCATCACCTCTACCTTCTCCATGCTCACTTGAAGGAAGTCTCGTCTTCGTTCGTTGCCTCGTCTTTTCTGCCAACTTGTTGGTTTTAGCCTGTAGATTTTCGAGTTTATCCAACATTAGACACAAATCATAATCGGTGAAATCCAAATCTTCTCACTCCTTATCATCCATCCAGCCATCGTATGCCCATCTTCTCGCTCCTCACAGTTGTCTGTTGCATGGTCCAGTCCACTCCACCTCCACCAAGAAGATCATCGGTGATGGTAGGCGGCAATCTTGTCTTACTCCGGTCGTCGCTTCACTTCACTCCACTTCACTTGAATGGCATCACTGAACTTTCCATGTGAATCACTTGGTATATAGCGTCATATAGCATATAGCTACTTTTGAATGAGGTTGATGAGGGTTTTTGTTAGTAAAACTGTAGTGTTGAAGCAGCTGCCTGCTAAATTACTCGTCGGTTGACGTTGTTGGAGACGTTTTCAAAATCGATGAAGTTGAGGTTGAGTTGTGTTGACTGTCATTGTATGCTCTATTCTATGATGAATCGTAGCGCAGCGTTGCAATTTGATTCTGAAACCAGCCAGCCACACTGTTCTGGTCGCAATTTTGAATCCTGTGCATCTTTTAGTCTCTCCAAGATGATGCGGCTCATTTTTCGCCTGGAGCGGAGAGGAGTATGATTCCGCATCACTTCTTGCAAAGACTTAGGGCGCCCACCCTTCTTTGAAATTTCCACAAGGTAGCCCTTCTTCAAATCAATCGGTAGGTACCTTTGCTTCCTTCCAAACCCTCTGCAGTAGTGGTGTGAGCATGTCCGCAGCTGTCTCTGCGTGTGTTTTCAGTGCTTGTACAGTAATCACATCTGGTCCCGCTGCTTTCCCAACTTTCAGCATCTTTATGGGGTTCAGGACTCCTGCTTTCTGTCGGAGGGGTTTGTGTTCACTGGTAGTTCAATGTCTGGGCTGCTGATGGTATTCCTCTACGAGTTGCATGTGGTGATCGATTTAAGAGCTCCTTCAAGTGGTCAGCCCATTGTGTCATTTGCTTCTCCTCTTTGGTAACTAGATTTTCTTCACTGTCTTTCATTGATCTCCTACCTGCAGCCTGTTCTGCTTCACTTGCAAGTGTGTCGTAGAAGTGCCTTTTTCCTCCCGCGCACTCTTCTTCACTTCTTTGTCCAGTGTAGTGTTTTATATGTTGTACTCAATTCCTCTTCTCGTTATTCATCTTTGTAGTGCACTGCACTTGTATATCTTCTGCTTCACCATCCTCCTCTCCCTGCTCTATCAGCTTCCATGTATCTGTCGAGATCCATTCCTTGTCCTCTTTCTTTTTCCTTCCTAATACGGTAATGCAGGTTCGTTTCACATAGCTTTCAAAGAGTTCCACAGTTCATCCACACAGGTTTCTTCAGACATGTTTCTGAATATCTCCCATTTTATCCTGATGACTGATGTGAAGATTTCCTTTGTAGTTTCATCCTCCACTTCGTGTTCTGGGTGTCCAACTTCAACTGTGATCTATCACCAACTTCCCTCTAGGTTTTCAACTTGATTTTGAATGTAGGTTCCTTGCACTAGATAGTGAGTGGTGCAAACCTACATCTATTCCCCTTCTTGACTTTGTGTCAAGTAGGCTGCATCTCTACTTTGTTCACATTGAGATGAAGTCGATCAGAGGTCGGTTTTAGTGTGTCCACCTGGTGAAATCAAATCCATGTCGCTTTTTGGATATCCTTGTGCTTGAATACAGTCCCTCCAGTCACCAAATCATTGAACGCACATGGTGCTGCAAACAATTCTCCATTCTCGTTCATTTCACTGATCACTTCTCCACCCATGGTTTGTTCTCTTCCTGTGTTGTCCCTTCCCTGTAGTTTGTCATTCATGTTGCCCATTAGAATTTTGATGTCACGAACTGAGGTTTTGTCCAGTGTTGATTGCAGTTGTCTGTAGAATTCCTCCTTCTTATCTTCATCTGCATTATTTGTAGATGCGTAGTGTAGTGTAGCGTAGCATCGTATGACTGGGAGTTTCCTTCCTTTGAGTTACACCTTGCTGTCATGATGCTGATCCTACATGAGGAGATCCGATCCCAGTGTATCAGAGGGAGACAGCCTTCGATGCTCTCACGGACATCATGATAATCACTCCATAACTCAGTGTGCTCGTTGTTGTCGTGTGAGTGACAATATTGTAGTAGATTATTGACTCTGCAGTTGACAGTTTGTAGAGTCCACTTCCATTCCATCTGCTTTCATAGATGATTCCTAGCACTTCAATTCCATACCTCCTCATTTTTTTTGCAATCTGGGTAGTCTTGGCAGGCAGCTTTCAGCATGGTGTAGACATTCCATGTCACTATTCTTACTTTTGTTTTCGTAGATGGAGAGAAGCCACATGGGGTGACTGGCTTTGCGAAGGCTTTCACGAACCGACGTCATTTCGTCTCCTTGATTCCAGCGAGGAATAAGTTTAATTTTGCGTTTCATGCTAACTTTGTGCTTCAAAGTTTCTGTAGTGATTGGATTGGTGTTTTGGTGTAGGGGTGATTGCTCTCTGTACAATCTTCCCTGTTTATCCGGTCTTAGGATCGCTAGTGAACTAGTTACCCAGGCCAGGTTCCTATACAAATAAATGAGTTCTATTTACTGGTGTCTGAGGTAAGAAGATTGTCAGGAGTAAATTCCACCTGCTTCACGAAGGTCTCATGGTAATTGGTACTCACCATCATCCCCATCGTCATCATGAAGATGAACATAGGACCAGGCATTACTGGATAACTGTTCAAGTCGTCACACACCTCATATCATGACATGAAATAACCAGGCAGTAAAATGGAAGACGAGGAGATTAATTTCAGCGGTTAAGATGAGGATAATATATGTATATATCTGCGCCACTTATGTCGGTTCATACCTAGAGTCTCCGACCACTGGCTTTTCTTGTCCTACGGACGCCAAGCACCCAGTCTGCATCC